GGACTCATCAAGCACTATATATATAGAAGACCCCTTTGTCACATAATTCAAATAATATTCATTATATAAATTTTTGTCGAGCTTGCGACATTTTTATCACAAAAGCGAGTCATACCGATCTTATAGATTCCGGCGTTGGTGTCATTAAGAGTCAGTCTGTGGTTGATGTTTAAATGACTTTATCAAACCTTCATGGAAATTTATGAAATTTAGACAGACGCTTGTTTGAGAATAAAATACAGTATCCAGAGAACGAGAATATAAAATTTCAGACGATTTTTCACTCTAAAGTCCATCTTCAAACAAAAGAGAATATTGGGCAATTAAAAAATAAGTGGGAATCTTCCTCAATATTCAGATCTAGAAGGACATGTTCTTTTTTGTTTGTTCCAAGTGCATATCTACAAAACTTAGTTTGATTTAATTGAGGGCGGACTCTTTAATATATATGTATTTTATTTTTTCTATAAAGGGGGGGGGGGGGCAATAGGGGGTCCGTTAACATGTTAACAACACCTCGATTTTGGCAAAAACAGTTAACAACAAATTTTAAATGCTGATAACAGTTAACACCAACTTTAATCTACCCTTTTTTCCTAAATCAAACCAAAAGCTATGAAAAGGGGGAAATGCACACCTTCAATGTGTTCAGAACCACTGTACAAAGTCGCAGAAATGCCAAGCTCTAAGGAATCTTTCAAAAAGCTGATCAAGTTTCAGATTACAGCAAACTTGGGTAATCGTGCGATGTAGGAAAGTGTGACAAACAGATGGACAGAGTGATTACAACCAATTTTAAAGCTTAAGCAACTTTTAAATCCTGAACCTGAGCTTTTGACAGAAGTTGGTGACTTTAAATGTATAAAGTAATCTTTAGAATTTCGAAAATGAGGTCCATGTCCATCAAAAGTTACATTTCCATTATAACTATGTTTTTATGTTTATATTTGTAGTTCTTCACTTTCTGTATATATTTAGTTTATATTTGTGTTTGCTTGACCCATATGGGTGTATTTGTGTTTGCTTGACCCATATGGGTGTATTTGTGTTTACTTGACCCATATGGGTGTATTTGTGTTTGCTTGACCCATATGGGTGTATTTGTGTTTGCTTGACCCATATGGGTGTATTTGTGTTTGCTTGACCCATATGGGTGTATTTGTGTTTACTTGACCCATATGGGTGTATTTGTGTTTGCTTGACCCATATGGGTGTATTTGTGTTTACTTGACCCATATGGGTGTATTTGTGTTTGCTTGACCCATATGGGTGTAATTGTGTTTGCTTGACCCATATGGGTGTATTTGTGTTTGCTTGACCCATATGGGTGTATTTGTGTTTACTTGACCCATATGGGTGTATTTGTATTTGCTTGACCCATATGGGTGTATTTGTTTTCTACTTGACCCATATGGGTGTATTTGTGTTTGCTTGACCCATATGGGTATAATTGTGTTTGCTTGACCTATATGGGTGTATTTGTGTTTGCTTGACCCATATGGGTGTATTTGCAAATAAAATTATCATTAACTATAGGGCATGGTGTAGTGGTTAGTGCATCGGACTACTAACACAAAGGTTCCTGGTTTCGATTCCCTTTCCGGGATGAAAATGTAATGGACTGAATTTTTGGCTCTCCCTTGACACCATTTGCGAGTATGGTCTAGAGGAAACCATGTTAGTCTGTTGGAAGGGGAAGATAAATGTCTGACCCGTGTTAAGAGATTGCCATATCTCTAGCACGTTAAATACACTCTTGTAGATTTCGAAAAGGAGCAGGCTAATGCCGCTACATGGCAGCACTCACACCCGCAAAGTGGAAAGGAATTTATATAAGTTGCAAAACTTGCTTCCCAATCTACTTTAGATAAATATGTTTAAACTAACTATAGAGCGCGACCATTATTTTTTTTTTTATGGCGAGGGCCCTAATAATATATGGTTGCATCTCGGTGTAATCATACGACTCATAGCTTACATGCTTTTATAAAAAGGAATTGAAAAATTGCAAATCATTAAAACCAATGTATCAAACGCATCTTTCATCTCCAAGTCTTAAGAACTCTGAGCTGATATAGAAAAAGCCTTTGGCCAATACTTACACTTCAGAAGTCTTAGACTAGCAAATTTGGCATCAATTTGAGAACCAAAACCTCATTGTTTTGCCTCTTCTACAAGGCCACACTGTTCAATTATTTTTGAAATTGCAAATTGAAACGGTACTTTATTTTTCACAACTTCATTCAGATTTTGAAAACTCTATTCAGGTTCTCCTGGTCAATGTAACTTATCAAACATTCTATATCATCTTAATTGTTTTAACTTTGGGACTGACCAGGATTTTAGCTTGGTCAGAAGTGGCCATTCCTATTAACGTGGGGATTAATTATAAATAGGAGACCGAATTGAACTTCTGTCATAGTCTTGTATTCTTTTTTAATATTAATTTTGGTTCATTTATATGTTTCGGAGTTTATTGTGACGTTCATTTTATAGGAACTAGTATACTTTTTTGTTCAGAAAAGACAATTGAACTTGGTCACTTTGGAGCCAGCTTCAACCCGCCTCCTGGTGCAGGATTTCTCGCTGTGTTGGAGACTCATTTTATTTTGCCTTGGGCTGTTTTCTACTCTTTGGTCGTGTTCTTGTTTTTTTGACACATTCCCCATTTCAAATCTCAATTTTATCAAGGATGTACTATAGTCAAAGATCTCCAAAGACAGCTACATATATGTGTCACTCCTTTGAGGAAGCACCGTAAATAGTTATCAAAGGTAACAGGATTATAATTTAGTACGCCAGACGCGCGTTTGGTCTACATAAGACTCATTAGTGACGCTCATATCAAAATATTTATAAAGCCAAACAAGTACAAAGTTGAAGAGCATTGAGGATCTAAAATTCCAAAAACGTTGTGCAAAATACGGCTAAGGTAATCTATGCCTGAGATAAGAAAATCCTTAGTTTTTCGAAAAATTTAAAGTTTTGTAAACAGGAAATTTACGTAAAGAAAGAGATGGACAGAAAATTTAATGTGATATTAACGTGTGAATATTTAAAATTCTTGTAAATGACAGTTAAAATCAGTTCACAGAGACATATTAAGTCAAAAACAGGGAACACTTTAAGTGTCGAGTAACAGATAACAGGGATCCTATTTTCAAAAGAACAGTTAACAACAGTGCAAATTTAAACAAAACAGATAACAGACAGTGGGTTGAAAACAGTTAACAGTAAAATTTTATCTCAAATAACAGTTAACAACACCTTGAAAAAGGCCAAAACAGGTTAACATAAAAAGGTACCCCCCCCTCTATAAACTTAAGTATATCCAAATGAAAATGTGTGTTCCAGGTTTAGCAATTACATTATCAGTATAATACTACATGTAAGTATGATATGTACTCGTCCATATACCAATTTTCTAATTATATGTAAGAATAGAACGAACCAAATAAAAACACAAATGAAATGAAAAATCTTCTAGAGATTATTGGTTCAGCCTTCTCGTATAGATTTTGATAGAAAACAGAACTTTGAGATAGTTTGATTGTTTATTTTTTTGCAATAAAACAGAGTGTACAACATAGATATTGTATAAGTTATAAACAGGTTTTTGTCTAAATTTTGTTTTTATGTTCCTTACAGAGTCGTGCAAGAACACAAACTGGAAATAAACTTTATTACTAGTAATATGATGTATGGGTTAGGCGATTGAGTCACAGTAAATGGTACTCTACAGAGACGCATTATACCAGAGGCTGGTAATAAACTCTACAGAGACGCATAATACCAGACACTGGCAATAAACTCTATAGAGACGCATAGTACCAGAGACTGGCAATTAACTCTATAGAGACGCATATTAGCAGAGACAGGCAATAAACTCTATAGAGACGCATAATACCAGAGACTGGCGATTAACTCTATAGAGACGCATACTAGCAGAGACAGGCAAAATCTGTACAGAGACGCATAATAACAGAGACCGGCAATTAACTCTATAGAGACGCATATTAGCAGAGGATGGTAATAAACTCGAAAGAGACGCATGATACCAGAGACTGGCAATTAACTCTATAGAGACGCATACTAGCAGAGGCTGGCAATAAACTCTACAGAGACACATAATAGCAGAGACTGGTGATTAACTCTATAGAGACGCATAATACCAGAGGATGGCAATAAACTCTACAGAGACGCATAATACCAGAGACTATCAATAAACTCTATAGAGACGCATAATACCAGAGACTGACAATTAACTCTATAGAGACGCATATTAGCAGATGATGGCAATAAACTCTACAGAGACGCATAATACCAGAGACTGGCAATTAACTCTAAAGAGACGCATAATACCAGAGGCTGGCAATAAACTCTACAAAGAGGAATAATAGCAGAGACTGGTGATTAACTGTATAGAGACGTATAATACCAGAGGCTGGCAATAAACTCTACAGAGACGCATAATACCAGAGACTAGCAATAGCAGTGGCTGGCAATAAAGTTTCTGAATGTTATGACATTTAGTCAAAGTAGTGACTTAAAAAGACACGTAAGAGCACATATTGGTAAAAACCCTCATACATGTGATATTGATAGCAGAGGATTATACCGAGGTTGTTTCCTAATAAGACACATGAGAACACATACAGGAGATAAACCTCATTACTGTGATATATGTGGTAAAGGGTTTATTCAGCATAGTAATATACAAAGACACATGAGAACACATACAGGTGATCAACCATATGACTGTGATGTATGTGGGAAAGAGTTTTGTATCCTTGGCTATTTACAGAGACACCAGAGAACACATACAGGGGATAAAAACAAATCTCATGACTGTGATGTATGTGGTAAAGGGTTTAGTCAGCACGGTGGTTTAAAGAGACACATGAGAACACATACAGGTGAAAAACCATATAACTGTGATGTATGTGGTAAAAGATTTAGCGAGCAAGGTAATTTACAGAGACACGTGAAAACACATACAGGTGGTAAATCTCATGACTGTGATGTGTGTGGTAAAGGGTTTAGTCAGAATTGTGGTTTAAAGAGACACATGAGAATCCATACAGGTGATCAACCTCATCAATGTGATGTGTGTGGTAAACGATTTAGTCAACCTAGTAATGTACGGGTACACATGAGAATTCATACAGGTGATAAACCATATGACTGTAATCTATGTGGTAAACGGTTTAGACACCATTGTGATTTACAGAGACACATGAGAATGCATACAGGTGAAAAACCTTATGACTGTGATGTATGTGGTAAACGATTTAGTGTGCTTGGTCACTTACAAAGTCACATGAGAACACATACCGGTGACAAACCTTATGACTGTTATGTATGTGGTAAAAGGTTTAGTCAGCATGCTACTTTACAGAGACACATGAAAACACATACAGGTGATAAACCACATGACTGTGGTGTATGTGGCAAAGGTTTTAGTCAGCTTAGTCATTTACAAAGACACATGAGAATACATACAGGTGATAAACCTCATGACTGAGATGTGTGTTGTAAAGGGTCTAGTCAGCTTGCTACTTTACAGAGACACATGAAAACACATACAGGTGATAAACCCAATGACTGTGATGTATGTGGCAAATGGTTTAGTCTGCTTAGTGATTTACAAAGACACATAAGAACACATACAGGTGATAAACCCAATGACTGTGATGTGTGCTTAAGGGTTCAGTCGACAAGGTAATTTAAAGATTCACATGAAAACTCATACAGGTGATAAACCTCATGAATGGTAATTTACATAGACACATGAGAAGACATACTGGTCAAAACCATCATTAGTTTATATTTAGCTCACCTGGTGCGAAGGTGAGATTTTGTCATCACTTGGAGTTCGTCGTCTATCGTTTTCGTCCGTTGTCAGTTAAAGTCATAAAATAAAATATGCATATGTTTTTTTATAACAAAATGGATAGTTGTCATTATTACCTAATAAAGACTATTTTACTGTTTTATTAATATTTCTATATTATTTGCTATTTTTCTGCCATTTTTTGTTCCATGGTCTATTGCACCTGTGTGCAGTCTATTGCACTGACCTGTTCAGACCTCTTATTCTGAAATCTGATTAGTTGAAAGGTATTCATGTTGTCCAATAAAATTGGGTCTTTTAAACGTTCTTGGGTTTATTGTTTTGATCGTCTGCAAATAACTTCCGCGATGGAGCGGTTTGCAAATGTTGACGATGGAGCTAGACTTAAATGATTTACCTGAGAAAAGGGACGCTAGAAATACAAAAATTTCTAAAGTATTGGTTGTACATGTATGCTCCTTACACATTATAATTAATACAGTTGTTACTTTCATATGTATTATTTCTTTTTTTTTCAGTCGACACCTTCTTGGAGTTATTGCACCTTCAAAAACTTTATTTTATAATGTTTTGCCATTTTGTCTAGTATCTTGAAAACTGTAATAGATATATAAACTTTGATATAAGTGAAAAGTGATCACTAAGATAAAAGATAGATACAAATACGTAAACATGCCTGAAATAGAGTTATTCCCCATTGATGATTTTTTTTTATACCAAAACGATTAAGTGGCTTTTCATAAAGCGGTACAGGCTTGCAAGGGACTCTAGTTGTGCTAAAAATATTGGAAGAGGGGACTTACTAAGAAACATAAATGACATAAATATGATGTATGTGATGAAAGTTGGCGATAGAGGATGTGTATTTTAAAAGAGACACAGTAACGTATTGGAACACATGCTTGAAATAATTATAAGACCTTATGAATGTTATGTATTTAGTATGAGGTTCTATAATAATGGAAACTGGCAGACACATGAAAACATATGCCGTGAGGTTTTAATCATGGACTATTAATATTATTTAAAATAATGGCCCATTCACATAAAAAAAACATACTCGAGAAACTCTTCGAAATTGGAGGTATAAAATAGCTGTTTTCTGCTCTTTGATCGGGTTGTTGTCTCTTTGACATATTCCCCATTTCCATTCTCAATTTTATTGGTTTTTTTTTAGAATCTTGCATTCCAGAAACACTAGGTGTTTAACCGTTATGTATACAGATATATTATTTGGGAGGGCGTATTACGTTTCCGCAAATTTAGCAAAAATCCAGTTTTACGTTTCCGCACTTTTGTGCATTACTTTTCCGAAAAAAATAGATACTACATTTCCGCATTTTTACCTGTATTTCACCTGTAAAAAATGGAAATAATGATATATAAGACTTTATTTTATTATAGTATTTTTTCTTGATTTGTATTTTATTATGATAATATGATTCCTTCAACATGTATATTATATATAGCATACCAAATCTTTTTTTTTTATATAAACCCTGTCATATTCTTTACTGTGCCTGTCCCAAGTCAGGAGCCTGTAGTTTAGTGGTTGTCGATGGTTCATGTCTCTACTCATATTTAATATTTTGTGAAACGTTTTGTTATGCATAATTTGACATTTTGTTTTTTTAGTTTGAATTGTTTCAGTGACACACTTTTCATGTCGGAACTTAACAGTATCGGGTTTTGTCATTGATGAAGACCAGAAGGTTACCTATGATTGAATACATCCACTTCACACTGATTTGAACTCCTGTGAAATATTTGTGTCTGGGCGTAAAAAAAATAGTAACAAGCAAACAAACAATCAATCAATTTACAATTAAAAACGAAAAATAGGCATAAGCGACATATCAAGACGAATAATAATACCAGAATAACCCATTAGTATTTTAAGTAGTGCTAAACACCAAACACCATCGAAGAACAAAAAACACGCCCCAGGTTTACCTGGCAAACGGAAGAGGCATACATTTAAAATAAAAATGCGGAAACGTAAATGACCTTTAACAAAATCAATGTAAAATTAATGCGGAAAAGAGTACTACAAAAATGCGGAAACGTAGGAATTTTTATGCGGAAACGTACGTAGTGCCAAATTGCGGAAACGTAAAACGCTGATTTGGGAAATGCTTTCAAATTGGTTATGTATATAGAGTCATATACAACACTTCACAATGTTTTATGAAAATTCAAATAATTATATGTTATTTCTTTGATTAATTGGATCCTTTCTAGTCCGTGCTGTCATGCATTTTATCAATAATAAAATCACATATTCAAGTAACAAAATAATGTTGGTGTCACTGTGTTTTGATCATGATACTAGTACTTGACGTGATACCTTAAGTTTTGTTGATATGTTTAATCGTGAAACGTGGCAAGATACAAATACCATAAGTTGTGTTGATGTGTTTAAGCATTATAATACTTGACGAGATACCTTAAGCTGTGTTGATATGTTAAATCATGTTATTTTACAAGGTACCTTGAAATGAGTTTGATATGTGTTTAATTCTGACACTTTACGAGATACCGTAAGATGTATTAATGTGTTTAATCATGACACTTGACGAGATATCTGAAGTTATGCATTGATGTGTTCAAAGTTACAGTGAGGCTTTAAACATGTTGTAAGGCAATACACCGGTGATGTTTTTGAGCTTATTTTTACAAACTTGGGACAAACTGACCGTCTATAACGGAATGTTTCAAATCTGCTTTTTATTAAAAATTGGATATAAAAGGTCGTATGTTATTGTCTAAATCGTAGATACCCTTTACGGATCACTTTACGGAGACTTAACAGTGTCGGATCATATTTATATTCCTTAGTCACCCTTGTGGTTCCTCAACATAAATATAGATTGACTGGTACAGATATATGCGACAAAATAGATACAAGAAGATGTGGCATGAGTGCCGATGAGACAACTCCCAATCCAAGTCAAAATGTGTAAAAGTAAACCATTATTGGTCAAAGTACGTACTTCAACACAAAGCCTTGGCTCACACCGGACTGCTAACTATAAAGGGTTCTAAAAATGACTAAAGAAAACCATTCAAACGGGGAAACCAAATCATCGGTTTCATCTGTCCAAAAATGAAAAAAAAAACAAGAGAAACGAGAAACACTTATGAACCTCATCAACAAACGACAACTACTGAACATCATGTTCCTGATTGAGGACATGTGCAAACACATGCTGCGGGTTTAAGGGCTTTTATCAATAGTGTAACATCACAACATAGGAAGACACATATTCCCCATTTCCATTCTCAATTTTACATTATAAAGTATCAATTAAAATGGCTTAACTCAATCAAAGGACAAATTTACACAATTGAACATACACTGAAAATAAATTGGAATGTTTTATCATGAAGAGTGTTTCCTTAACTGCTACAACGATTGATTAATCGGTTTGTATAGTTGTCCAGTGGCAAATAGTTTACGCATGCTCAGGAAGAAAATAATTACATTGTGCCAATACATACAATAGGAAAGTCCAGTAAAAGTTGGCCTATTTTTCTCTTTTCTTTATATTTTACCACCTTATTATTTCCTAGATTGTTTTGGGCGCACTTTTTCTAAGCTATTTTCTTCATTGTTTGCCGATGATTTTATGTTCTGTAAACCCCATTATGGCCCCCTCTATATATAATTACGATCGAACTTTAATGATTTATTTCTTTAACCCTAAAAATTAACTTGCGCGTCCGTCTAAGATAACTGATTTTTTTTTTTTTATTTTGATGTATTTGTCTTTATTTCTATCTGGGAACAGTATATCGAAGACGCAATGTTTTATGTTCATTATTAACAGAGAAACTATGTAACAGTGCACTTATATAAAACGGCGATTCGTATCCGTTGAGGAGGTGTTCCATTATTGGAAGGAAATACATATTGAAGAATATAACGTTGGTCTCTTTCCCCCGACTTAAATTCTCCCTTCAAAAACATAGTAAGTTTTTGATTAGAAGACAATGGTTTATTATTTTTATTCTTTACAAACTGGAGTGAGCAATAAATGGGTAGACTTGACACTGTTTATAACGTGAAAACTATGAAGAAGCTATTATCTGCTTGTCCAGACTAAAATTTGTCATATAAGACGGTAAATAACAAAGCAAAAATTTAAAATAGCCTCCAAGACGTCATAATTATTTGGACTAGGTTATACCTGTATACGTGATTGGTAATTAATCATATTATGAGACAACTATGCTGCGAAGTTAAATAAAGTATCTAGACGCATCCTGTAAGAAATCAAAGGCAACCACTTGGACTTCAACAATAAGGAAAACCCATACTTCATGAATAGCAAACTGTGAAAGGCCCCAAAATCGAACATTGACAAATGTTAAACAGTTCAATTGGGAAAATTAACGTCCTGATTTTAGTACAAACAACGAATGAAAAACATATATGATATTATACTATGTTACCACTGTCTGTCCGTTCGTCCGCCCCATTATGGGTATGTAGGTATTCCACACGACTCCTACAGTTTGATTGCAACCTAGGTCAATCATGGTCCAGTAACTGAATTTATTGTGGTGTTTTCTACAAAGTCATTTGAAAGATGCATATCTATCCAAGCATATCAGATTGACAACTATCTTGAGGTTCTATCCCTAGTTCATGCATGGTTAAGCAACTTTACATTAATTAGCAATGTTGCTGTTAACAGTTCATAAGATTGTCTTTCTTGATTTTATTTATGCAGACAGGCGAGACATATCTTTCACAAATTGAGTCAACAGTTTACTTAGTTTAGATTTTAAAGAATATGTGGCATGCATGCCAATGAGACAATTCTCAATCCAAGTTACAATGCATAAAAAGTTAACAATCATAGGTCAAAGTACAGCCTTCAACAGCATAAAATTTGTTTTACATGTCGTATATGATATAGCATATATCATGTATATACATGATATAGGTTGTAAGAATTACCCAAACATACAGATACATAAAGTGGGTCTCATTGGGGTCTAAGTATGATGCGGGTTTGCAGATTTTTTGTAAGCGTGACACATGAAAGTCAAATTATTGTGCCGTGAAAAACGGGAAATAAAGTCTAGCGGAACACATGAATTACAAAAAGAAGAGAATTGCTGATGTGCATAGTGTAAGCTGGGTACGAAAATCTGACAAAACAGTAAGCGGGAATCGGGATCAGAACCCCCCATAAATGCAGAAAATGTCAAAAAAGATATGTTGTATATGCCATGTGTGTCAATTGCAGAAAGGTATCAAAAGGTTTATCATGTTTATCATGTTTGTATATCTTTTTTTTTTTGTTCCTTACAGAGTTGTGTAAGAACTCTCATACTGGAGATAAACCTTATTAACATGATTAATAAGATGTTAGAGGGAGGAGAGGATTTAGTCGCAATTAATGGTACTCTACGTAGCTGTATACAGAGACACAACTACACACAGACTGGTAAAACACTTCATAAATGTGATGTTTGTGCTAGAGAATTTAGTCAAAGTGGTGACTTAAAGAGACATGTGAGAACACATACTGGTGAAAACCCTCATAAATGTGATGTTTGTTTTAGAAAATTTTCTCGAGATATTGAATTAAAGAGACATATGAGAACACATACTGGTGAAAAACCTCATAAATGTGATGCTTGTGGTAAACATTTTTCTCTCAGTAGTCACTTAAAGGCACACATGAGAATACATACTGGTGAAAAACCTCATAAATGTGATGTCTGTGCTAGAGAATTTACTCAAGATAGTACCTTAAAGAGACATATGAGAACACATACTGGAGATAAACCTCATCGCTGTGATGTATGTGGTAAAGAGTTTAGTCACCTTGGTAGTTTACAGATTCACATGAGAACACATACAGGTGATAAACCTTATGACTGTGGTGAATGTGGTAAGGGGTTTAGTCGTATAAGTAATTTACGGGATCACATGAGAACACATACAGGTGATAAACCTTATATATGTGATGTATGTTGTAAAGGGTTTAGTCAGCATAGTAATTTACAGACTCACATGGGAACACACACAGGTGATAAACCTCATAACTGTGGTGTATGTGGTAAAGATTTTAGATTGCTTGGTCATTTAAGAAGACACAAGAGAACACATACAGGTGACAAACCTCATGAATGTGATGTATGTGGTAAAAGGTTCAGTGAGCATTGTAATTTGAAAATTCATATGAGAACACATACAGGCGATAAACCTCATGGGTGTGATGTATGTGGTAAACGGTTAACTCAGCTTGGTAGTTTACAAATTCACATGAGAACACATACAGGCGGTAAACCTCATTACTGAGTCTGTGGTGTATCATGTGTATGTGGTAAAGGATGTAGTCAGCTTGGTAATTTACAGAGACACATAAAAACACATACAGATGATAAGCTGCATGATTGTCGTGTTTGCGGTAATGTCAGTTAAACAATAAACACGGTAAAGGGATCAAGTCAAGTTTGTAATTTACATAGACTAGTGAAAATTTGTATAAATATATTTTTTACCTTATGCATATTACAATGAGGGGTACTACTTGTACAAGTAATTTTTATTTACTTGAAGAAGTAAAAAAAAACAACACATATAAGTAAATTATAATGTTTGAATAATCTCCCCTTAATTTTCTCTAAAATTCACTTGTTTAAGTAAATTTTTCTTACAATCCCACAAAAATTCTAAAGTTTTGAGATACAAAATCATGCCTATGATGATTTTTCCCAGGTTAGCTCGTAATTTTTGGTTGGATATGGATCAGAAATATGGGGATTCAGTACTTGTGATGTTATCGAAAAGGTTCATCTAAAATTTTGTAAGTTGCTTCTGAATCTGAAATCTTCTACTCCCAACTGTATGATATACGGTGAGCTAGGACGTTTCCCACTTGCTATTGTCAGATGTAAAATTAAGGATGATATCCTACTGGTCTAAATTGATTATGGGAAAGCAGTCAAAGTATTCTTGTATTATATATAAACTACTGTACCACTTGTATTGTACTAAAAACATTGATTTTAAATGGTTAATATTTGTTAAATGTATATTTGATAATGTGGATTTTCTTATATCTGGAACACACAGCTCTTTTTAAATGATGTATGGTTAAAATATAATATCAAAGCAAGATTGTGTGATCATTTCAAACAAACATGGAACAAGACTATTCAAAACATTATGTAAATTTAGAATATGTAACCATAAACTTCCAGTCGAACTTGGAAGATAATACAATATAGAAAGGGAAAATAGAAAGTGTAATTTATGTAATATAGATATTGGAGATGAATTTCATTACATTACTAATTGCTCACATTTTAAAGAAGAGAGAAATAAATTTATAAATCGAAATTTTAGTAGAAGACCAAATATTATACTATTTTAATACTGAAATTATGTCGTCTACAAATAGGGCAGATCTCATAAATTTATTTATGTTTATGTGTTTAATGTATTGTATAATTACATGTCTTCTCTGTACCTATGTATTTGGTGATGAGAAATAAAGATATATATAATCAGTTCAATGTTTCATCTCATTAACTCAACAAAGAAACTGATTGGGTAAAGATCTTAAGTATTTGCGCAAGGCCTTCAAAAATTGCTCCTTAGGGGCTTGTAAATGAGCAGTGTTCTGAAGATAACAGACAAATGGGATTTTCATTGTCCATGAAATTACACTTGAATGATTAGCAAAGACATCTGCAAAGGGCAAACATTTTAAAATTCTATTAGAGCAAAGAAATCCTAACAATTCAAGAAAAGAAGATAGGATGACTTTTTTTTATACAAGTAAAAAAATCTGAATGTCTAAGGGACATTACTGAGCCAATTTTTTTTTACCTGTACAAGTAAATAAAATTCACTTGTATAAGTATCCTACACATTTACTTATATAAGTATATTTATAATTACTTCTTCAAGTAAATAAAAACTACTTGTACAAGTAAGTACCCCTGACTGTATTAACTCAATGATGTGGATCATATATATCCAGCCCAAATTGTGTCATACAGTTGATTAGTAATACATATGGGAGAAGATTTTATAAGTTGGCAATCTGATTAAAATTGAGATCTATCTTTACTCGCTCATATGTAAGAACTGAGATGAACAGTATACATGGTATAGTGTGTTTTTCTATGCTGTGATGTTATACTATTGTTTCAGAAAAGGGAGAAGGTTTGGTACCATTAAAACGTTTAATCCCGCTGCAAATGTTTGCACCTGTCCTAAGTCAGGAATCTGATGTACAGTAGTTGTCGTCTGTTTATGTAGTTCATACGTGTTTCTCGTTTTTATATAGATTAGACCGTTGGTTTTCCCGTTTGAATGGTTTTACATTAGTAATATTTGGGGCTCTTTATAGCTTGCTGTTCGGTGTGAGCCAAGGCTCCGTGTTGAAGGCCATACCTTGAACTATAATGGTTGTTACTTTGATGGAGAGATGTCTCATTGGCAGTCATACCACATCTTCCTATATCTATGTAAAGGATGACATGTACATGTATGAGTGCCTTAGAGACAACTCTCCATCCACGTAACAATGAATTAACAGTTAACACAGTTTGATTAATTTTTTGTCTGATTGCTTTTGCATATTGAAGCAATATTTAAATAAAGGCAACAGTAGTATACCGCTGTCCGAAATTCATAAATCGATTGAGAAAAAAAAACAAATCCCGGTTACAAACTCAAACTGAGGGAAACACATCAAATCTAAGAGGAGAACTACGACACAACAGAAATGCAACACTAAAAAGTAACACACACAGAAACGAACTATAATATAACAATGGCCATATTAAACTTATAATACACTTAGATAACTGTTACAAATGTGGATGTACGTGTTTTACCATGATAGTTGTCAAGGAAACTTCTTATTATTCTGGTTAAGTGTAGGTCTCATTTTGAGTATGTTGATACTGGCGCATACGTGCCATAGCAGTACAGCTCTCCTCGATGTACAGTTAAGAGATGCGTATTTACAGTTAAAATCCAATAATCACAAGTTAGGAGATGGTGGAGGTTGCCTGTTTAAACCCATCTATGGCTGGCAAACTGACCAGTGGCTGTGACATGTAGGTAGTTCCAAATTCTGATGACACTCGGGAATAAGGAATGTTGGTATACTGGGGTGCGACAATGCGGTTGGAGTTATCTGATGTTATGTCCTCTATTGGAAACACATGTTGGTATGAGGTATAGTTCTGTTGGAATGTCTGTACGAGATGGTTGAATAAAATGTATAGTAGGAAAGTTTTTACTTTGGCTCTTTTGAATTATTGGGTTTCCCATCTAAGATTGGTGAGCATGGTACTTACACTACTTGTTTGTTGGTAGTCATTGTAAACGAATGTGGCCCATTTCTAACATGTCTAATTAGAAATTACATACGTTTTGTTTTGATTTATTCTTTGAATAAGTTCAACGTCAACTTCATTTATGCACAAATGAAGATAACTCTAATTCAAAAGGGAGAGCAATTTTCAACCCGGCCTCAATGTTATAAAAAAATATAATAGCAAAAATACAGAACTCCGAGATATTAAAATTCTAAACTGAGAAAGTTCCTAATTATAAGCAAATAGCAAAATCAAACGCCTAAAAACACCAAAACGAATGGATAACAACTGTCATATTCCTGACTTGGTACAACATAAATTATTATTTTATGTAGAAAATGGTTCATTAAACTTGGTTTTATAGCTAGGTGGTAATTTACGCTAAAATACAATACACATATAAACCTCACACTTAATATGTTGGTGGTTGAGATTTAAGTTAGAACTAACATTACAGAATGAAAGGAGACTTCATCCTCGTATTAAACAATGTAAAAAGTTGTTGATTGATTGATGGATTATTTTGGTATTTATCACTTTCAGTATTATTGGCTTTTCATGTCTGCCAATTTTTATTTGTTGATTCCAGGGGCAGCCAGTTTTTGTCTTTGGAGGAAATTGGAGTGTCCGGAGATAACCATCGACAATTAACAGGGAACCTTACAAATCTAGTCAATTGAGATTTGAGTCTAGCGCACCTGCCATGTGCATCCAGTCAGTTTAGCTTGTAGTCAAATGCATCTTTGAATTAAACTATGTGAATCATCATGTAATAAAAATGGGTGTATGATAAGGAGTTCAGGTTCTAGTCACGTGATAGCACACACGCGACCATTAACTGAATGAATCGCGGCGATGTTGACTTAATCATGTTAATAATGCAGAGTAACTATTTATTTTTTTAGTCTGGTTTCAGTTTGATGTAAACGTTATGTGGTACGGAACATAGTCCCCAGTATCGCCAATGTATTACTTACATTTTGTATACTCCTTCATAATTCATTTTCTTATGTTTAATTACTGCCTTAAATAGCAAATATCGTCCTGAACATGCATGAAATGTTTGCTATTGGACGTTAAGCAACAAACAATCAATAAATAGCAAATAGCAGAAACAATAAACTACAACAAAAGAAAACGCTTACATACGTAGAAACGGACTGTAGATTACGGCCATATTCCGGACTTGATACAGGTCATTTCAAGAAAAAAAAATGGCGAGTTGAACCTAGTTTTATGGCTAGCCAAAAACTCTCACTTATTTGTAAAGTGCAATGTTAAAAATACCGCTAAAATGACAACGCTACGTGACAGGAATACACTACAAACAAACGCAAGAATATTCAGCACAGCGACATACATAAATAAATAATATAATAGTACATTACAACATGAAAACCGCAAAATTCTAATGGACACCTCCCATGATTTTTTTTATAGCACACAGGACACCTAAAACGAAATATAAATTGCGCGTCAACAGTAGTGTTCTATTAATGGTCTAACTTAATAGTCAGAACTTACAGAGATATATTGATTGATTGTTGGTTGATTAATGTCCAGTGGCCAATATTCCATGCATGTTCAGGACAGTAACTTTCAATGAAAAGTGAACACATATAAAAGTGGTGTAAGTGTGCAATGGTTCAATGACAGTCATAACTTACAGAGACAAGTGAACAGTCAGAACTTACAGATAGAGACAAGTGAACAGTCAGAACTTAAAGAGAGAGAGAAGTGAACAGTCAGAACTTACAGAGACAAGTGAACAGTCAAAACTTATAGAGACAAGTGAACAGTCAGAATTTACAGAGACAAGTGAACATATATAAACGTGGTGTAAGTGCTCAACTGGTCAATGACAACAGAACTCACAGATTGATTTATTGTTTGTGTGTTGTTAAACGTCCAGTGGCTAATATTTCATGCATCGTTAGGACGGAAACTTACAGACATGTGAACACATAAAGATGTGGTATAAGTGTTCAATTGGTCACTGATCGTTGGAACTTATAGAGACACGAGAACGCATATATAAGATAAAGATATGTGGTATGATAGCCATTAAGACAACTACCCAACAGAACCAAAATAAAGCGGATTTAAGCAAATAATATTTTCGATCACAACATACACTTTACCAGTGAGCAGATGTTTACTGTACATGTAAGTCGTAAAAAATGACCATACGTTACAAAAAGTGAAACAATTCAAAAACTTAAATCATATGTTTCATGACTAAACAATAAAACTATAGTTTATCCTGACATGTTCGAAAATGCAGAATATTACAGCATAATGATTATCGGAAGTTTGGTAGTAAAAAAAACAAGTTCTGATTTGAGCAACAGAACAAATATACTATTATATTATATTTTTCTCTGAAACGAATCTTCCAGCACGGTTTTTTTAGCGATCCCTAGTCCGTATGCTTTCATTTGATACATACATTATCGAAATATTTTACTTTATAGATGTAAAGTTACAGCTATGCCGAGGAACTATTTTGTTTTACATTATAAACCTCCGTCTAACAGGGTCCGAATTAGTGGTTAATTACCTGTCTGACCGGGTACGAATCAGTGGTTGTTTACCTGTCTGACCGGGTCCGAATCAGTGGTTGTTTACCTGTCTGACCAGGTCCGAATCAGTGGTTGTTTACCTGTCTGACCGGGTCCGAATCGGTGGTTGTTTACCTGTCTGACCGGGTCCGAATCAGTGGTTGTTTACCTGTCTGACAAGGTCCGAATCAGTGGTTGTTTACCTGTCTGACCGGGTCCGAATCAGTGGTTGTTTACCTGTCTGACCAGGTCCGAATCAGTGGTTGTTTACCTGTCTGACCAGGTCCGAATCAGTGGTTGTTTACCTGTCTGACCGGGTCCGAATCAGTGGTTGTTTACCTGTCTGACCGGGTCCGAATCAGTGGTTGTTTACCTGTCTGACCGGGTCCGAATCAGTGGTTGTTTACCTGTCTGACCAGGTCCATACCAGTGGTTGTTTACCTGTCTGACCGGGTCCGAATCAGTGGTTGTTTACCTATACCTATTATAGAACCAAATTTGTTACATGAATATTGACTTCTGCTTTTAATTTGATTCTATTATTTATTTCTAGCCAAGAATACACATGAAGCTTTTGTCCAAACACTATGGACTGGTAATAACATATATACTA